GGATTCAGGGAAATCTGTTATTTTTATATAGCCAGACTTGAGTACTGGAAATGGGGAGTACAATGCCTGCACTTTAAAGGAGGGGTTTGGGATATTGGCAGTTTGGAGGGATATGTTGTGTATCTTTATACATATATGCTTCTAAACTGTTGTGTTCTGGGCACCTTTGCAAAAACAGTGATTATGTATGAGTGAGGTAAAAGTGTTAAATGATGATGAAAGTATTTTCTTTTTGGGGATTTTCTTTCTTTTTGGGTCACCCTGCCTCGGTGGGAGACGGCCAACGTGTTAAAAAAAAAAATGGAAACTATTCAGTAGTAATTATAGACATTCATTATCGATTATTGATATTGCATATACTATATGGCCATTGCAAATCATTGACTTAGGTAATTATTATACATGTAGATGATTGATGATATATTATTATTATTATTATTATCACACTGGCCGATTCCCACCAAGGCAGGGTGGCCCGAAAAAGAAAAACTTTCACCATCATTCACTCCATCACTGTCTTGCCAGAAGGGTGCTTTACACTACAGTTTTTAAACTGCAACATTAACACCCCTCCTTCAGAGTGCAGGCACTGTACTTCCCATCTCCAGAACTCAAGTCCGGCCTGCCGGTTTCCCTGAACCCCTTCATAAATGTTACTTTGCTCACACTCCAACAGCACGTCAAGTATTAAAAACCATTTGTCTCCATTCACTCCTATCAAACACGCTCACGCATGCCTGCTGGAAGTCCAAGCCCCTCGCACACAAAACCTCCTTTACCCCCTCTCTCCAACCTTTCCTAGGCCGACCCCTACCCCGCCTTCCTTCCACTACAGACTGATACACTCTTGAAGTTATTCTGTTTTGATGATATAATGTTATATAATTTAAAAATTATATAACATATCTGAGGGCAATGTGTGGTGTGAATATAATGAATGCAGAGAATCCATAGTTTGGAGACTAGGAGGCATTGCGGGATTACCAAAACTATTATCCAGAGGGCTGAGGAGGAGTTATTGAGGTGGTTTGGATATGTATAGAGGGTGAAACAAAAAAGATGACTTCTAGAGTTTATAAATCTGTACTGGAGGGGGATCAACACCATGCCCAGTCCTTCCAGGGTAGGGTAGGTGCCTGAGCCCGAGCTTATAGCTCACAAGACTGTCATTCCCATTAGCCCCCTTGGGGCGGGGATGGCAGACCAGAGAGGCCTAGCTTGTGGCTAGGCCTGGGGACAGTTGGTCCCAAAGATGAGGAGGTACTTGTGCCTTCTCCCATGGGAGACTTTGGTTTCAGACACTCCCTAAAGAGGGAGCCAAGGCCGGGCCACCACTTGGAAAAGGCCCGGGCTGGGTGAATACCGGCGAATCTTTAATGATAATAATAATGTACTGGAGGGAAGGCGGGGTAGGGGTCGGCCTAGGAGAGGTTGAAGGGAGGGGGTAAAGGTTTTGTGTGCTAGAGGCTTTGACTTTCAGCAAGCATGTGTGAGTGTGTTAGGAGCGAATGAAGACAAATGGTTTTTAGAACTTGACATGCTGTTGGAATGTGAGCAAGGTAGCATTTATGAAGGGATTCAGGGAAACCGGCAGGCCGGACTTGAGTCCTGGAGATGAGAAGTACAGTGCCTGCACTCTGAAGAAGGGGTGTTAATGATGCAGTTTTGTAAACTGTAGTGTAGACTTGCCTCTGGCAAGATAGTGATAGAGTGAATGATGATGAAAGTTTTTCTTTTTCGGGCCACCCTGCCGTGGTGGGAAACGGCTGATGTGTTAATAAGATAAAAATAATTGAAAAATTGTAAGTTATTCAGAATAATGTATAAGGTAATATTTCCTAGGAATAGGAACAAGAGAACATGTAGGTCAATATGTACTGCAAAAATTAGAAATGTTTAGTGTCAGTGAACCAGCTAAAATTGAATCATGTATAAAATTAATAACTAGACTAATTTGTCTCAGATTTGAAAAATGTTACTGGTAGTAACCATAATCAACTGGTATGCAGCCAGGCATCAGGTGCTTTTTATGACTATAAAAGATACAAAATAAATAACCTGATAATGTCAAAGACACTTCAATACCATGCAAGACCATCATTGATCATATTAAAAAACTTTTTTTTTCTGCTTTGTTTCCCAGTGTTTTGTTTTTATTTCTGTTCGATTTCATTTTTGTTTTTCGTATAGCTCAGTTCAGACAGCTGGCCAATGGCCCACCTTTGACTGAAGAGCTTGCCAATGTGCTCGTGGAAGACCCTGGTTTCATTACTCAAAGCTTGACCAAGTGGGGTTATCATAAGACTTAAGACCCACCTCTGGAGAAATTTTCCTTTGTACAGGGGAACCTCAGCCTACGAGTTTAATCTGTTCGTGACCTTGCTCGTATCCCGATCTGCTTGTATGCTGAGTCAATTTTCCTCATTTAAATTAATTGAAATGCCACTAATCCATTCCAGCGGAATTCCTGCTCTCAGGAGGCAGGAATTTGATGCTAATATCAACTCTACAGCTTATTTATCTATCACAATTCATCTAATAAGACTTCTTCTTCTTTCAACACACCGGCCGTATCCCACCGAGGCGGGGTGGCCCAAAAGGAAAAACGAAAGTTTCTCCTTTTACATTTAGTAATATATACAGGAGAAGAGGTTACTAGCCCCTTGCTCCCGGCATTTTAGTTGCCTCTTACAACACGCATGGCTTACGGAGGAAGAATTCTGTTCCACTTCCCCATGGAGATAAGAGGAAATAAACAAGAATAAGAACTAGAAAGAAAATAGAAGAAAACCCAGAGGGGTGTGTATATATGTGCTTGTACATGTATGTGTAGTGTGACCTAAGTGTAAGTAGAAGTAGCAAGACGTACCTGAAATCTTGCATGTTCATGAGACAGAAAAAAGGACACCAGCAATCCTACCATCATGTAAAACAATTACAGGCTTTCGTTTTACACTCACTTGGCAGGACGGTAGTACCTCCCTGGGCGGTTGCTGTCTACCAACCTACTACCTAGGCTAATAAGACATAAACAATATAAATAACATAGAAACCTGATATATACTCTAGAATGAATAAAATGTTATTTTGACATGTGATGGTGGCCATTCCCTACCTCAAGTGGCTGCCTTGTTGTGGGTCAGCGAGGGGGAGATCTCCTGCCATCCACTGCCATTCCCCCGACACTCCCGACACCACCATCCCAGCTTACTCTTCGGTTCTGCTTCTCTCCTACAAGCTAGCTGTGTTTGTGAATTGTGTTTTGATCTTTTAATTATCATATCTTGTATCTGCCAAGCAATTGTGACACCCAGTAGGCATATCAGTGTTGCTGAATCACTTACTGACTTGACTGAATCACTTACTGACTTGACTGAATCACTTACTGACTGACTTGACTCACTGACTGAATGACTTAAAGTTAGACTTTTTCACTGAAGAGGACCCTGAAATGGTGTCTAGAGTAGCTGATGCCTTACCATCAGTTGTATAATGTACTGCAGGGTAAAATAGAACAGAAATCCTTCACAGAATTTATGCTCACTCCTGTACAACCATCAACTTCAGTACCAGAATCTCTACCATCCACCTTAGCCCAGTAGGGCCACAGCATCTTTCTCCACTCTCTTCACAATCATTGACTAACACCAGCACCCACAATTTAAGGTAAGAAATGCTATTATTTCTGTTGCAGTTATAGTCTTAAGCAGTAAAAACAACATAATACATCACGACAATGAACTACAATTATATATTCATTTTTTTTTTTTTTTTTTTTTTTTTTTTTTTTTTTTTTTTTCAACAAGTCGGCCGTCTCCCACCGAGGCAGGGTGACCCAAAAAAGAAAGAAAATCCCCAAAAAGAAAATACTTTCATCATCATTCAACACTTTCACCACACTCGCACATTATCACTGTTTTTGCAGAGGTGCTCAGAATACAACAGTCTAGAAGCATAAACATATAAAGATACACAACATATCCCTCCAAACTGCCAATATCCCAAACCCCTCCTTTAAAGTGCAGGCATTGTACTTCCCATTTCCAGGGCTCAAGTCCGACTATATGAAAATAACCGGTTTCCCTGAATCCCTTCACTAAATATTACCCTGCTCACACTCCAACAGATCGTCAGGTCCCAAGTACCATTCGTCTCCATTCACTCCTATCTAACACGCTCACGCACGCTTGCTGGAATTATATATTCACTTTTGTAAGATCTGGAGGTTTAAAAAAAAAAAAAAGCTGTTTGAGGGGAAGCTCATATCCTGAAAAACTCGTATGGCAGGGCACTCGTAAGCTGAGGTTCCACTGTATATAATATAAAGTAGATACTATAGGACATCTTGGAGATGCTGAAAGACAGGGAAGGAGGTGAGAGAGAAAGAGAGGTACAGTGATACCTCGAGTTACAAACTTAATTCATTCCAGAAGGCTGTTCGAGTGCAGATACCGAACGAATTTGTTCCCATAAGGAATAATGTAAATTAGATTAGTCCGTTTCAGACCCCCAAAAATGCACTTACAAAAGCACTTACAAAAATACACTTACATAATTGTTTGAATTGGGAGCTGTTCAAAATTCAAGGTACCACTGTACTTTAATAAAAAATTCTCTCGAGGTACTGGCCAGTGTGATAAGACTCGGTACCTCTTTTGATTGTCCTAATGCAATCAAGCTGTATCAGTGCTTTGTAAATTGTTGAAAAAAAAAAAAAAAAAAAAGTGTGAAATGCAATGTAATAAAAATAAGTACAGTGGAACCTCAAATATTGAACTGCTCCCAGTTCAACCAATTATGTAAGTGTATTTTTGAGGGTCTGAAATGAACTAATCTAATTTACATTATTCCCGATGGGAATAAATTCATTCAGTAACGGCAATCGAACAGCCGTCTGGAACAAAGAAAGTTCGATATTTGAGGTTCCACTGTACTTTGGGTAATAGTACATAATATGACATAGCTCAAAGTGTGAATTAATATTAATTACTATTTTTCAGCAAAGGAAGGGCATGCTGAAAAGCTATCACAGGTGTTGGATGTCATCAATGAGACCGTTGGAGATGCTATCTCAGACATGCTACTTGTCGAAAGTATTCTACATGCTCGAGGCTGGTCTGTCTTAGACTGGAATGAGGCCTATACTGACTTCCCCAACAGGCAAATGACGGTATTGTATATAACAGGTTCTAAGCTTTAAAAGCATATTGTTTATTATAGTATTGCTTGCATGAAAATATCTGATACCTCGCAATCAATAGTGTGAAAGCAGTATCTTTGCTCTAGTGTGTAGTGTAACCTCTTAACACACTTTAATAAATGGTAATCTCTCTCTAAGGCTTAATTTTCATTATACATGCATCTGTAGAGAGAAATGAACTATATACACATATGCATATTTATGTAAACTCAATTTTTTTTTTTACACACTGGTACACACTGGTCATCTCCCACTGAGTTAGGATGACCTCCCCCTAAAAAAAAAAAAAAAAAAACTTTCACTGTCATTGTCTTACCAGAGGCATGCCTATACTACAGTTCAGATGCCACTCCAAACTGCAAATATCCCCACCCCTCCAGAGTGCAGGCACTGTACTTCCCACCTCCTGGACTTGTCTGGTTAACTGGTTTCCCTGAATCTCATATTCCCTAAAACTTGTATTGTGTGTAAATACAGTCGTATCCCTTGATTCTGAAATTAGTCGAGCTGAAAATTCGTTATCCCACATTGGACATTTCAAAATTGATGAGCTGTAATTTTCTCTTTCAACCAGAATCATAATAAATAAAAAAAGCAATTTTTTTCTGCAAGATGAATCCACAGCACCATACAGTAGTGGATTAAAGGTCCAGGAGCCCTAAGCAGAACATTAACCCTTTGAGGGTCGACAGGCCCTCTCCGAGACTTGTTCTCAGGGTCGACCAAATTTAAAAAAAAAAAAAAAAAAAATTTTCTTATAAAAAGATAGAGAATCTTTTCCCGATCATAATGACACCAAAAATATGAAATTTGATGGAAAACTCGCGAAGTTAGCGGTCTCGGCGATGTTTACGGATCGGCGATTTTGCCCACTTTGAGCCCCATTTTCGGCCAGTTCCACTGTATTAGTCGACAAAAAACATGAATATTTCGCTAGAACTCCATTTTTTCTATTGAATGAGTGCAAGAAACCACCCATTTACCAATTTCAACTATCCAGTACAGTGATCAGAATTTAGCAATTTTGCCAATTTCACACAAATTTCAAAAGATGCCAATTTCCGAATAGGGTCCAGAACAAACAAGAAATACATTCCTGGCACTAAAATGACATTTCCTCTGTTCATTAGTCACGTCTCAAGGCCCCTCTTACATTCTTTTGCTTTCCACTTTGAATTTTTATTCTCACAAAAAATAGAAGATTTACTGTTATGCAGACTACTGCATTAGTGTAAAAAGTGGTATGAATCATATTGGCGCACTTGCAAAAGAATATTAGACTCACCAGTTGACATGTATTGGACGCTTGGCATGATTTGTTTACTTTTGAACTTTGGTAAAAATCGAACATTTCTGCTACTTTGAGCTCAATTTCAAGGTACTTTTCATTGTAAAACCAGTCAAAATCATCTCAATTTCTATGATATGCCTTCCATTCTATAAAATGAGACCAAGAAAACTAGAATACAACAATAAATACCATACGAAAATACAGTGCAAAGTCGCTGTTTTATTCCAAAAAAACGGTCAAAGTTTTTTTTTTCTCATTATGCACTGTGTGCTGCAGGATTTTTTTTATACCATGCACACTGACCACATAGACCCATTCTTTCATATGGAGGCCTACCAGCTTTCTCCCACTAGATTTGAGGACGCTAGAATTTAGGCGTACTAGTACGTCAAAAACCCTGGGTCGTAAGCCGTACTAGTACGTCCGAAACCCTCAAAGGGTTAAGAAGCCCTGTCATCTGAATTACAAAAGCATTTTCAATGCTGTTACTGAAAATTAAGCATTTTGCTTTGATGACAGTTTACAAAATGACTGCCCCTGGAAATCATGGATGGTTATGAAACAAATAGTTGATGATTTGGATTGATAAGCACGTTATCAGTGCTTACTATTGATTACAGTTCTAAAACTGTACACAAGCTTTGGTAATAATTTTTAGTGCAAAACAAATTGTTAGCCAACTGTAGGTAATGCTTGCCAACAATTGCTTTGGATATGGCAAATACAAATTTTCCATGCTTGAAGATTGAATGTTAAAATGAATTAGTGATATCCATGAATTTTTCTGTGCTATAACATACATTAATAAAGTAAATGGTATATATTAAAAGAACTGGAAAAGGAAAGATAGAGTTTATTGTTAGCTGACTGCAAATAATGCTTGCCAGTAATCACATTGGATACATTACTAAACGTATTGCTTCCATATTCTTAGTTTGAATTTTACAGTGAATTAGCAGTATCCACATAATCATTTATCGCAATTTTTTTTTCTTTGCAAACTAGTCGTCACCCACTGAGGTGGGGTGACCCAGAAAAGAAAGTTTTTCTTAATTGTACGTTTAGTAATATATATAGGAGAAGGGGTTACCAGCCCCTTGCTTCTAGCATTTTACTCGCCTCTTACGACATGCATGGCTTACAGAGAAAGGATTCTTCACTTCCCCATGGAGCTCTCATTATATTTTCATTAAATAAAACGCTTGTGCTTAAACAGTTACGTGAAAAAATAGTGTCCATTCATGGCTTAACCCTTTCAGGGTCCGTCCCGTAGATCTACGGCTTTACGTTCAGGGTCCAAACCATAGATCTACGTCATGAGCTCAGCTCACTCTGATAAACTGTGAGTGGTACATTTGGGCCTTGATATGACAGAATACATCTATGTGGTATGTGTGCACCACATAAAACAGATCCTGCAGCACAGTGTATAATGAGAGAAAAAAACTGAAATCATGATTTTTCGATTAAAACAGCGACTTTGCAGTGTTTTTTCGTATGTTTTTATAGTTGTATTTGCGATTTCTTGGTCTCATTTGATAGAATGGAAGATATATTACAGAAATAGAGATGATTTTGATTGGTTTTAGCACTGGAAATGGCTTGAAACTGAGCTCAAAGTAGCGGAAATGTTAAATTTTTGCCAATATTCAAGAGTAAACAAACGACCTCACACATCTAATACACGTCAGCTGGTGGGTCTAATATACATTCACAAATATGGTGATGATATTTATACAATTATTACAGTATTGCATAACAGTAAATCTTCTATTTTTTGGTGTGAATAAAAAATCAAAATGGAATTTATTTGTAACGCCTCAAAATGTAACTAATGAACAAAGGAAATGTTAGTTTAGTTCCAGGAATACCTACATTGTTTATTCTGGAGCCTATTTTGAAATTGGAATATTTTGAACTTTGTGTTAAATTGGCCAAATTAACAATTTCCGATCACTTTATTTTGTAGTTGAAACAGTTGACTTGGCGATTTCTTGTGCTCAATCGATAGAATAGAAGTAATGCTAGTGAAATAGCTAAGAATTTGGTTGATTGGAATAATGTAATTGGCCTAAAATGGGAGTCAAAGTCGGCAAAATCGCCGATTCGTAAATATCACTGACACATCAAAATTCGCGAGAGCATAATTTCGTAAATTTTCCACCAAATTTCGTACTTTTTGTTTTATTACCTTCACAAAAAGATTCTCTACGATTTCATAAGAAAAAATAACAAATTTTTTTTTTGAAAATTCTTGGACACTGGTGCGTGACTTCAGATTTTGGCCTTGGACCCTGAAAGGGTTAACATAGATTTCACTGCCTCGCCCAAACATTTTAATGCTGTACTCTTTACATATGCTCTCCACTTCCTCACTGTTGTGGTTGAGTGGGATGTGGGAGACATGAGATATGGGAGAAGTGTGATGTGGAAGAAGTGTGGTGTTGAAGAAATGTAGTATGGGAAAAGTGTAGTGTGGAAGAAATGTGGTGTGGGAGGAATGGAGTAAGATGTGTATTACAAAAAAAGTAATTTTTAAGATGGTAGTTTTACTCATTTTGTAATAGAGAGTTCGGGATACATAAAGCATTAAAATAAATTAATCTTTAATATAATATAAAAATCACTATCTTTGGTCTAGAGGTATTTAAAATGTATATACATGTTACAATAATAAATTATTAACATCTTAAAATAATATATATATCTATGCTAAAATAATAAATTATAAATAACATTTGTATAATAATAAATTACAGTCAACTCCGTGTCTCACGACACCCTAATGACGCTCCGTGTCACATGACACTTATCCGAGTTGTGACGCTCCTTCTCCACCGTGTCACTCGTCACCCTTTTCGCCGTGTGATGACGCTCCTTCACAACCGTGTCCCTTGACACCCTTTTCTCTGTGTCACCAGACACTCCAGCTCTCCGTGTCACACGACACCCTTTTCTCTGCGTCATCCACACCCTTTCTCGACTGTGTCACACTTGACACCCTTGTCTCTGCGACACACTCACTGTCGATGTAGTGTCTTTCGAGAGGCCAGTCACATGATACTATTCAATGTACACTACAACCAGGCCATCTTCAGTGTCACAAGACACCCTTTTCTTCTCAGTGTTCCACTACGGTCCTGTAGCATATCTCAGTGTTCCACTCCATCCTTCTTCCCTAAGTGTCACACTACGGTCCTAGCCCAGTTCAGTGTAACACTCCAACCTTTTCTTCATGTAATGTCCCACTAAAACAGCATCAGATGACTCCGGCCCACAGTTGACCAGCGTAGGCAGTGAGTCTGCAGACATCACCGGTAGTCCTGTAAATACTCTCCAAGGCCGGTAGAAATACACCATAAGATGGTCTGGTGAGTACTATCTACCGCCTTCAAGACCAATTGACACACCGCAAGGTGGTCCGATGAATTACTAGCAGAACACCATGCTGCAAGCTCACTGAGTGCGGCCGTCAAGTAACTGAGGCCAACAGACTCAGTGAGCTGCGGTGAGCACTTCCTCTAACGCCAGTAGAAGCCAGTAGAATACCAAAAGATGGGCAGGAGAATACTCTCTACTGCCAGTAGATCTATACTGTAAGGTGTTCTGGTAATTACTGCTGCGGTGCATACCGTGAGGTGTTCAGGTACTTACTGCTTCTAAAGCCAGTAGATGTGTA